ACTAGCAAAGCCACCGAGCTCAGTAATGGCAAAGCTGCCTGCCGAGACCTGCCTCTGATCAGGACTCAGTGACTCTCCACGAGAGCTCCACCCGAGTTGCCTAGGGGTGGGGGTAAAAACACCGCTTCTGGGTCCCACCTACAGACATTGTGATGTAACTGACCAGGGAGCAGTCTGGCATCAGAAGTTTTAAACTGCTACTGCTGCTAAGTCACTTCAGGTGTGTCCGACTCTGTGCGACCCCATCCCTGGGATTCTCTGGGCAAGAAGACTGGAGTGGGTTGCCATTTCCTTCTCCAATGCATAAAAGTGAAAAGTGAAAGTGAAGTCGCTCAGTCATGTCTGACTCTTCGCGACCCCATGGACTGCAGCCTACCAGGCTCCTCCGTCCATGAAGTTTTAAAAATCTCCCCCAAATTATTTGATTCTGTAGCCAAATTTGAGAACCACTAGTTTTCTGTTGAAACTCAAGAGACATGTGTTTCAAACTGGGTGGCTTTGGTGACTTTCTACCTCTGGGGTCTAGGACAGGGACTGAAGGTGGAGGTGTCACTACAGGAGGAGGAATGCCTTGATCTAACTACACAGCACATCCTGTGTTTGTCTTCCCAAATCACTTTCTGTTTTGCTTTTATTTCCTTGTTCTTTTTTCTTTCAATAAACCATGCTCACTGCCTCTATCAAATCTAACCTGTTGTCCTCCCTTTGTGATCAAAGTCCCAGCTGCGTATGATCTCATTTATTCTCAAAATAGCCCTGCGAGTGAGGAAGCAGCCAGGCCATTGTTCCCTAAGGCAAATCAGGGACCTGCAGATCAAGAAAGGTTCTATCTGCCACGGGACTCATATGCTTATCGAAGTCAACGTGTTCTCAGCAATTTTCAGCTTACACAACGTTTTCCTCTGTTTGTTCCCGTGGCATCCTCGCAGCCAGTCTGTGGTGACAGTATTTTCATATCCAGGGTGACCACACGTTCTCATCAACCCCAGGTGACACCTGCTGTCCCAGCCTGACTATTGGAAGTACCTCCTTTCTCCCTCAGGAGTTTGGACGATAAAAGATAAGGGCACTTTATTTATAATCACCCTCTTGTTTGAAGAGGGGGGGATGCTGAGATTCATAGAAGTTATGGAACTTTTTCAGAGTCACTTGACCAACAAGAGGCAGAGACAAGATTTGAGCCCAGTTCTCTGTCCCCTCTGCCCCATTCGCATTTGTTGGGAAATGAGAATGAGAGCTGACCGACTCAAACCTTTCTTATTATAGATGAAGAAACTAAAAACAGTGGGTCAGTGATCTCTCAAACATCCCCATGAGATGGCTTCTCTGGTGGTCGGTTCAGTGACTGGGACTCCGCCTTGCAGTACAGCAGACACCGGTTCAATCCCTGGTCCCGGAGGATCCCATGTGCTCACATGCCTCAGAGCAACTAGGCCCGTGCGCCGTGACTACTGAGCCTGAGCTCTGCAATTAAGAGAAGCCACTGCAATGAGAAGCCCTCACATGGCGATGAAGAGTGGCCCCCTCTCCCAAAGCTGGAGAAAGCCCTCGAGCAGCAACAGAGACACACCAAAGCTAAAAAAAAAAAAAAACCTTTTTAATTAAATAAATAAACCTTAAAAAAAAAATCCCCATTAAAATGTTCCCTGGAAGGGAAAGACTTGGAGTACAGAGCACAGACGGGCGGGAGCCTTGATAGTGTTCCATGACCATATTAGAATGGACTGGAGATGGAAATGGCAAGCCACTCCAGTATTCTTGCCTGGAAAATCCCATGGACAGAGATCTACAAAATTCCTGGCGGGCTACAGTCCATGGGGTCACAAAGAGTTGGACACGACTGAGTGACTAACACATTAGAATGGATTTGTAAGTTGCCAGTAAGTGTCATCTTAGAGACACGTGAAAGGCTGACTTGGCAAAAGAAGGTACAAGGCCTGACATATGGGTATTTGAGAACAAATAAAAAATTTAGAGTCTAAACTGCTAGCTGAGGGCTGGATCTGAATGTTATTTACTGCTATCTATGTCTGAACATTTCACGGATGCTCTCTGAGCACCTGAATTTTTCAACCACAAAACGGGATGAACCACCATCCTTAGTTTCCGAGGTTGTTACAGGGAGAGAAAACTGCAGCTGGCAAAGTGCTCTCTCAGCAACATGTTTCAAGAGGTCCCTGGGAGCCACATATCATTTGCTTTCACCACTTTTTACATGTGAATCAAGGCTCATGGATCAAGGAAGCTGGGGATCCAATGAGATAAGGTATTTGAATGTGCTTCCCTAGTCCTAAAATGCCACCGTTTAGCATTATTAATAAGCAGCAGCAGTGGTAACAGATAATGATCGCCAATCGATGTGGCATAGAATCTATCGTAAGTCCTTGAAACTCTCACTATAGTGAAGGTTTTGAGTGACACACAGAAGGCTTTCCTGGTGGCTCAGTCGGTAAAGAGTCTGCCCACAATGCGGGTGACCTGGGTTTGATCCCTGGGTTAGGAAGATCCCCTAGAGAAGGAAATGGCAACCCACTCCAAAATTCCTGCCTGGAGAATTCCATGGACAGAGGAGCCTGGTGGGCTACAGTCCATTGGGTCACAAAGAGTTGGACACAAATGAGTGACTAACTTTTGCTTTCACTTTTCCCAGGGGACAGGCCAGGTTGGGGGGGTCCCTTCAAGGGAGTGTTGAAGATGACCACATCACAACATTTACTGGGTGAGGAGAGACTGCCTGGAAGGCTTCCTAGAAACCAACCTTGCTGGGCCTGCAGAAATCACCTCGGATACCTGAGACCTTCCACAAGGCCTTTCTTCTGATGGGAATCCTACAGCTACGAGACATGTTAAATCATGGAAATACCCGATTCTATAAATCAGGACACGGCTGGCTGCCTGGGCAGTGTCTTTATTTCACAATTATTTTCAGCCTTTACTTGCCCTTGTAAATGATCACTACTAACCAGAAGCTCAAAAAGGGGGTGGGGGAATCAAAAGAGCTTTCCTATCTGATTGTTTGTTCCCCATCAACTTGGTTTCTGTGCTGACCAAGAAGGCCTGCCTGGCTCTCATGGATTGCTTTCCTTTAGGGGGAAAAAAAAAAAAAGACAACACAGGTACTTTAGAATTCTTGTGGGCGCTGGGGGCTGCTAAGTGAGCTTTTTATACAAATGGAGAAAACTTCCAAGTTGCCAACATGAAACTCAGAAGGTGCGGGTAGAATGGACTTCTCACTTAGGAGCAGGGCAAAGGGCTCTTTTGGTTCTAAAAGAGTCAATTTGTGTTCCAAATAGCTTTCAGGAACTTGACACTGTGAAACGACCTGCTCCCAGGGAATCTGAGAAAGTCCTAGAATAGCTTTCTTCAAGAAGAACAGCAAGAGTCCTTGCTCTGTGAAAGCTCTCCGTATTTGCTCCCTAGACTGCAGGCCTGGACGCTGGGGGTCAGGGCAGCCCTGGCCAGCTCTGAGTCCAACACTTCCCAGCCTGGGAGGACATGACCTCTTTCATTATGTGGATCTGCCAGAGAGCCTGAAAATCCTTCCCAGAGGGGTCACAGAAACCAAATGAGGGTGACGGAGACAGAAGTCGCATTTGGGGAAAGAGAAATAAGTCCAGGAAAGTTGTCTCACTAAAAAACAAATGCAATGTCTATACATAATTTTGCAAAATAACCCCCAAAATGTAAAGCCCAGCCGAAATATTTAACAAAACTTTGTGGTAGGCTGGGCCAACTGAGAGTACTTTTCAAGTGTAAGATAAGTCACAACTGGCTTATTATTTTTTAATAAGATAAATAAAAATTACCGAAGACCAAAAGGTTGCTATCAGGGTCATATAGATCTTACACTTCCTGCGAAAATCTATTTGTTTATTTAGTTTATAGATAAGGATCCTTTGACCAAAACAAATTTAAAAGGCATGCCTATTTCCATACATTTCCCCATGTATAAAGAGAAATATACATGTCTTTTAAATTCAGCCAGGAGGCTCCCGACAGGCAAGTTCTCCTCCCTTCTCAGTTACCTGTATATTTCTGGGGAAACTGCATTCTAAGATGTTTGGGCTTTTTTGTTTTTTTTCCCCCTTTTGTGAAAGTTCTCAGCGCTCAGGCAGCCTACCGGCGGCTGCCCCTCCCCCAAGTCCTGGCGACTCCGCACCGCCCTGGAGACAACTCATCTGCGCTCAGGTTTCTCGGCTTCTGGAGGACCTATCAAATGTTTCTTTCTTATTACACTGGAGAACCGGGAAACGGTGCATCAGCTTCCATCCTTCCTCCTCCAGGTTGCAAAGAAGTGTAAGCAGCTTTTGACGTTAGGCTGTTTCGGCGCAGGGAGCGAGGGGACTTCATGATTCCCCCAGCCCGGTGCCCCCACCTCCCAGTCTGCCTCAGGTCACCCTTTGCATTTCCTGATACAACCCCGCGGAAACACGATTGTGACACGAAAAATAATGTGGGCGAGTGGGGTGTTTGCTTTCCGGCTTGCAGATCACAGCACAAGAACAATCTTTGTTCCCTTTTGCTTTTCTTTTAATAGAGTAAAAGAGAAAAAGGAGGTTTTAAGAAATGTTATTTCTACTTTGCCAAAGATCATATTATTAGTAATGCTTTCTTTTCTCCCTCTTCCTTCCCCTCACCTCCCCGCCCTTTTAGAAGAAAGCTTCGTGGGTCCAGCCAGGTTCCTGCCCTCATCCTGCACCCGAAGATGCCCTTCAGGACAAACCAAAATCGCCCCTAGGCAGGGTGACCGCCGGTCCTGCGGCAGGTTTGACAAACTCTCGGAGACGACAGCCACCTGCCAGAATGCACCTGACTCCATCCCGCCCAGGAGCCCCGAAACGAGGCTCGGGTTTGCAGAAAGGCCACCCCAGGGACCGCCAGGGCGAGGCTGCGCTCCCTGGGGAGGGTCGGGCGTCGCAGAGCGCTCGGCGCCGGGGCACGTGAGCCGCGAGCTGGGCTGGAGGCGCAGCAGGTGCGGCGGCGCTGGGACGCCGACCTACCTTCACGAAGAGCTCGATTTCGGGGTCCCGATCGTCCCCGTTAGCCGTCGCCGTGTCCGTCATGCCGTCGGCGCCCGGGGCCAGCGTCCCGGGCCGGGGAGGCGCCACCTCTGCGGCGCCCGGGCCAGCGCTCCTGCCGCTGCTGCTGCTGCTGCTGCCGGGGGGCGGGGGCGGCCTCCGGAGGGCGTTTATTTATCTAGTTTTTTTAATCTATTTCCCCAGCTGGTGACAGCGGTGCCTGAGGGATCGGTGTCCCGGGCGATCTCCAGGAAAGGAGCGAAGCCAGGAGCGGGCAGAGGACGAGGCGGAAAAGGTGGGCTCGGGGATGGATTGCAGGTTCCCGGGAGCAACAAGTGCCGCGCGCTGGGAGGTGTCACAGGATCCGCGCGGGGCGGCGATCCTGCGGCCGCCGCCCGCGCCCAAAATAGCCGGCGCCGCGGGGCGGGGTCAACCCCGCGGGCGGGAGGGGCTCCGGGCGAGCGCGGCCCCCGCCCCGCATCCCAGGCCCCGCGGGGCGCGCCGCGACACCACCGCTGGGATAGGAGGATGTTCTGGGAAAGATAAAGGGGGAGGAAGTGTGAGAGGAGGCGGGGGAGGATGAGAGAGAAAAAGAGATGGCTTTAAGCCTTACGTTTCATTTAACGAAGCATCAGCTCCTGTAAGTTAACTCTCCTACCAGCCCTTTCCACTAGGAAAGCCCCTTCCTGCCTTAGGGATGCTCAGAGTGGAGAGGAGCTATGGGGAGCCGGGAAGAGAACGGAAGGACCCTGAAAACTGTGCATTTGCCATCCTCGTGCGGGATAGGTTAGAGTGGGACTGGGGGAGAAGGAGGCTGGGAAGGGCAGGGAGCTGTGTAAGGTAGAGAGGTGAGCCTGCCAGGTCAGGATACGTGTCCTTTAACCTCTGGGCTGTTTTTCTTTCCCCTTCTTTCATTTTGTTTTTTTCTTTGGCTTTCTCCTCTATTTTTTCTTTGTTTTCTATTTTTATTTTATTTTTCTTCTTTTTTTTAATAACATAGAATACGCATATGGGCTTCCCTTGTGGCTCAGCCGATAAAGAATCCACCTGCGATGCTGGAGACCTGGGTTCGATCCCCGGGTTGGGAAGATCCCTAGAGCCGGGAAAGGCTACCCACTCCAGTATTCTGGCCTGGAGAATTCCATGGACTATACAGTCCATATACTTTTCCCACCCTATGCAAAGAACTGACTCACTGGAAAAGACCCTGATGCTGGGAAGGATTGAAGGCAGGAGGCGAAGGGGACGACAGAGGATGAGATAGTTGGATGGCATCACCAACTTGATGACATGAGTTTGAGTAAGCTCCAGGAGTTGGTGATGGACAGGGAAGCCTGGTGTGCTGTAGTCCATGGGGTCGCAAAGAGTCCAACAAGACTGAGCGACTGAACTGAACTGAATATGCATGTGGAAAAATATTCCTATCTTAAGTGGATGTAAGTTCAATATATTTTCACAATCTGAACTCATCCATGAAGCCAGCACCAGAGAAAGAGGTAAAATGTTAGCTGCTCGCACAGAAGCTCATCCTGGTCTCTCCTCTGTAGCTCTCCCTGCTTTCACGGCTGTCACCCTCCTGCGGTTAACTTACTATCCCGACTTGTAGTAACAGCACAGGTTAGTTTTGCCTGGAATCTTACAAAAAGCACAGTGTATACTTTGGTGTCTGGCTTCCTTTGTGTTCACCACTACACTGGTGGGATTTACCCATTCTGCAGTGTGTAGTTGGAAACCACCCATTTTTGTTGCCACAAGTTATTTATCCATTTGCCCTCTGATGGATATTTGCATAGTTTTCGGTTAATGACTTCCATGGGGCTGCTATGACCATTCTATCAAACATCCTTTCACAATACGTGGACACTTTTTGTTGGCTGTATACTCAGGAATGGGATTGCTTGTTTCTAGAGTGTTAGAATGTTCTTCTCGAGTAAGCACTGCCAGCGGGTTTTCCAATATGGCTGTACCAATTTACATTTCCATCCTCCATTTCTTTTTAAAATCAGGTGCTCAGTCTTTTGTATCTGGAATCTGGTCAACTTCTGTTTGTGTTCTTTGCCTTCTCTAGCTGATCCTGTCTGTGCTCTGTCCTGCTGGACTTACAAATACATATTTGTTCCATGACTTTCTAAGAAAAAAATTAATCACTTAATAAAAATAAGTAGCAGTACTTACTAGGTACCAGGTAAAAAAATGCTAAACACTCTACATGTCTTAACTTATTTCATCTTTATAGATAGTGTTATTGTCCCAATTTTACAAGTGGGGAAACTGAGGCATATTTATTAATATTTAAGCAATTTTCCTCTAGTCATTCAGCTAGGAAATGGTGGAATCAGAATTTGAACCCAGACAGACTAAGCCTATGCTCTCAACTACTCTAATCGCCTCTCTCAAACTCTCAAACTGGGTAAGACCCTTTGGGAAACAAAGGCACTGCACTGGTCTTAATGGAGAGTAAAATCTATTGCAGGAGAATATGCCCATGTAAAGAAAAACTCAGACTGCCTCATGAATTGGGTAGATGAAACGGCCATGTAAGTCAGCTTGTCAAGAGATTATTCATCACCATTGGAGTGGCCGGAAAGAAAGATCTCATAGAGCAGAAGAAACTACAACTGCAACTTCCTGAATGACAGGCATCTGATTGGTAAAGAAGATGGCAAGGTGTCCTGACCACCACTTATGACAGGTTGTTTCCCCATAAACTCCAAGTGCAAATGTCTCCTGCTCATTGAAGTACACAGTCACCAAGCCCAACTTGCAGCCCTCATGGTACCCTGCAGCTTAATCAAGGTGAGGCTTCATTGCTCTCCTCCTCGGTTTCAGGCTTACATCACCAAAGCCTTTAGCTGTCACCTTCACAGCTGTACATTCCAAGCCAGTGACTGCATACTCTGGGAAAGACAAGGTTACAGAGGGAGACTGCTACCTTCACTGCATGCCACACAGACTCATCACTTTCCTCTTCTGGACTCTGGACAATATTTGCAATAGTAATTGACAGAGGTAAATGAGATTTTATGCTAAAGTGCCTTTGAGGGCTTTTTTTTTTTTTTCTGAATGAAGATGCTTTACACATGTGGATATTTTCTTGGCTATGAGCTTAACAATATGTGTTATGACCTCTATTTTCCCCTAATCGCAAACCTAGCAGAGTTACCTCTTTAAAAAATATATATATATATTTATTTATTTATTTTATTTTCGGCTGCACTGGCTCTTTGTTGCTGCGCACGGGCTTTCTCTAGTTTTGGTGAGCGGGAGTTACTCTTCCTTTTGCTGCATGGCCTTCTCATTGTGGTGGCTTCTCTTGTCACAGAGCACAGGCTCCAGGCGCATGGGCTTCAGTAGTTGCAGCACGCGGGCTCAGAAGTTGTGGCCCACAGGCTTAGTTGCCCCAAGACATGTGGGACCTTCTCGGGCCAAGGATTGAACTTGTGTCCCCCTGCATTGGCAGGCGAATTCTCATCCACTGGACCACAAGGAAGTCTGAGAGTTAGCTTTTATTTCACCTTCTCCAAATATCTACCACCTACTGAAAAATGAAACAATTCCCTTTTAATTTCTAGATACCTCTCACTTGGACATCCCTGTAGATAACTGATAGTTTTGATATTATAAACTTTCATTTAACAACAACAAAAAATTCTGTCTGGTTATAAAATACTTCTGGCATATTTCTAGTTTTTAATTCCACATTCTGCTTCATTTCACAATAAAAAGACCTCTTATTTTTTTAAAAAATAAAATGACTACCCTTTTACATCAAAGTATAATTGGTTAGGCAATTCTGACTTTCTTCAGAGAAAAGCACTTCCCTGATCATATAGACTGTACTTCTAATAATCATAGTTTCACAAACTTGTTGCAAGTTTTGGATAAATCCTTATTAGGCAAGCACTTCAAAAACATATTCAGTGCTTACTTTAGCAGCATGTATACTTAAACTGGAATGACACAGTGAAGATGAGAATGGCTCCAATGAAAGGATTACATGCACATCTGTTTAACACTCATATTTTTGTATGATTGTTAAAATAAAAAATTATACTTGACTGGGTTTTCAATATATTCAGATTCAATGATATGACATAAACGTGAAGGCAAAGGAATTTATATAGCTGTAATATCTCTATACTTCATTTGAAGTGGCAAACTATGAACTCTAAGCAGATTAAGAAAAGTCAGGTATGCATATGGTAACCACTCCTAAACAACAGCTATAAAACTTACACAAAGGGATATGGTTTAAAAAAAAATGTAAGTTAAAGTGTAATGGCAAGAAATACTCAAATAATCTAAAAGGAGAGAAAAAGAAAGCAAACAGAAAACTAATCATACAATGGCACTCTTAAATCTAACCATTTCAATACTTAAATTTAAATGGTCTAAACACAACTAAAAGTTGGAGATCAGGGATTTCCCTGGTGGTCCAGAGTTTAGGAGTCTGTCTTGCAATGCAGGGGACATGGGTTCGATCCCTGGTCAGGGAGGATCCCATGTGCCGCAGGCAGCTGGGCACATGTACGGCCTCACATGGACCCCGGGACCCACACACCACAACTAGAGAGTCTGTATGCTGCAAGGAAAGACCCCACGTGCTGCAGCTAAGACCTGACAACACAGCCACATAAATAAATACTTCTAAAAAGCTGGAGATTTTTGGATTGGATTAAAAATAAACAAACCAAGATCCAACTATGTGCTGTTACAGAATCTCACTTCAAATGTAAGCAGATGGGGAAAAATACCATGCAACTGCTAATCAAAAGAAAGTCACTATATTAACACCAAACAAAATAGACTCCAGGAAAAGGAACTCATCATGTATAAAGAGGAATATTACATAATGAAAACAGAGTCAAGTCATCAAAAGTTATAACACCCCTCAGTGTGTATGTACCTAATAACAGAGCTTCAAGATCCATAAAGCAAAAGTGATAAAACTGAAAGAGGAAAAAGACAAACATGCAATTGCATTTGGAGACTAAAACCCTCCTCTGTTAGAAACTGATAGCAGAAGAAGACAAAAAGTCAGCAAG